CAGGTCCCTCTGGATGGCAGCACAGCCCTCCGGAGTGTCGGCCACTCCACCCAGCTTGGTGTCATCTGCAAACTTGCTCAGGGGAGCAATTTACTCCATGTATTACTGTACAATTTACTCCATGTATACTATTACTCTATGTAACTATCACTGATTTGTGCTATGACTATCTAAACCATTATCTCTGCCGTTTTATGGAAATACTTTTGCCAAGAAAAATAAARTTCTTTTTATAAAGCTGTTCTCCAACAATCTCTGGTGAGAATTCTTCCACCTCCCTTGCAGGATGAATCACAGACAATCACTAAGTGACAGACATATCACAGTGTCAGTTAGCAGAGCAGCCCTAGGGCAAATAATAGGTGAAATGATTGTGTATTTTGGCAAAGAGGCATGAGACCTAAAGGCCTCTCAGCTGTGTGTAGGAACATGTGATGGTCACAGATGCAGAAGAAAGGTTGGAAGAAGATGAACCACAAATGGCCATCTTACATCTACAATGAAAAATAGCTTATACTATGCTATTGGATGGTTATAAACATATGGAATATCTGTATTTATAGGAAGTTCTTGGGAATTTGTTACTATTTCTGTCAACTCAAAATTGAGAGACACTTACTAAGCAGGTACCTACACAGTATGCAAGATCACGTCCTCAACCCGTGCTAGAACTTCAGGGAAACTGCCTATGATACTGCGCATTTCACCACRGTTTGGAAACAAAAAGTGAAGCAGGGAGAAAAACTTGTGGTTCACTAATATATGAAAAATATGTGAATTTTTGTGAAATATGTAAATATGTGAAAAAAAAAGCCACCCAAACTTCAGGACAGAGATGTCACTTGCAGATACTCCGCTCCTGGGTGGCCAATGCTACTCCCATTACATGTTATGCATCCTAGAGCCTGCATGGCCCAACTGGCTGCTCTGTGACTTTGGCTTGAAGGGAGCCCCACGTCACCTGCCTTGACCTGTGCCCAGCACACGACTGGGTTATGCAAGGACAGACTTTTACAAAAGGTTTCAGGTTTATGTGGATGCATCGTTTATGTATATAAGCCAAAACAACTAAGAGAACAGCTGCAACTTTTTACTTACATTAAGAAAACGACCCACATTTCCTTCTTTTGTGGCATCCAGCACATAAATATTTCCWTCATTAGCATTCTTCGGAAGTGCCTTGTCATCATCAGCCTCCTCACAAAATGCCTTTTGTTTTGACTGCCTGCATCTTTCCTCTTTGCAGTCAGCTTTTTGTGGCACCGTTTGGGACTGCCTCACGGCATGAGCACCCTCCTGAGCCAGGGGCTTCCCTTTGCCTTTTGCACTGTCCTCACCAGCGAGCTCCGTCTGCTCAGTTCGCATCGGATGTTCTTCCTTCTGCTGCTCATCAGACTCTGTCAATAGAAAAGCTATTTTTCAGCATCAGTTTAAAACAAGTCAGCAGCGATGCTAGAGCCCAACACCTTTCCCTTGCTTGGCTCCTAATTCTTACCCACCCACTTTYCTGTGGCCTTCCTTGATATTTACAAGGCCTAAAACAGCTCTGCCCTTCTGCACCTCTCATCACTTGCTGCTGCAATGCCAGAGCACTTGCTCAAGTCCCATGGGAGTAACCTAATCTCTCCCTTCCTTTCAAATTCCACTCCAAACTGTTTTCTTCACGTGACATTTTATCCTCCTTCTCCACCTTTAATTTCACCCTGGAGAATCACAAACTGTACTTAAGACAGAAACAAGACACACATGCAAACAGCATCTGTTTTACACACCCTCTCCTAGTTCAGGCCACTGCTCCTCTGTCTCTGCCACTGTAACCTGTTCTATTTTTGTCGTCTGGAACAYGTACTGGATGTGACAATAACATTTGGCAAGACTGCCTTTTCCAGAACTGCACTCTATTTGAGAATCTGTTCTCAAATACAGTGCAATATAGTGCACTATACACTTGACTGTTCTTGTCACTGTTCAGCATGTCCTGAGCCCAAATTTCCAGGCAAGACACTGCCCTGTAGCAGTTAATGCACTACAATATGCAAGGCAGTATTAACTTCTGCACTGCTTAAGTCTGGCARGGCAGCCCAAGTGTTAGATGAGGTCGTCGTCGTTGTCTGCAAACCTACTTTCTTTTCCTTTCTTTGTTCCAGTGGCGAGTTTTGTTGTGCTTGACTGATGAGGCTGAGAACCATTATCTTCATCAAAGCTGCCGCTGTGCACCAAGGTATCAACTTCCTGTAAGGAGAACGAAAGCTAAGGAAAAAGCTGGGATGTACTGTGGCTGTTTGTAGCCTGGGCTCARTGTGGGAAAGGGTCTGGATTTTAGGGCTCTGGGGTCAAGGATTTAAACCTACTGTAAGGTAGGGATATGACTGAGTTTCAAAAGTCCAAACACTCACTGCAGTACAAGAAACATCTTAATTTTAAGCTATCATTCCTAATATGCTGGAAGGAGGTCCCCACTCAGTGAACCAATTAATAAGTGCTTAAGTCCTAATGACTTCACAGGATCTCTACACAGGTGTACATCAGTTGCTGAACCAAAGCCCAAACAAGGTATTTACAAGGTTTCAATAAAATTAACAGAAATGACAAGATTTCTCCTTTCTCATCCCCAAAAAGGGCAATTAAGGGAGCTCCAGAAAGGACAGCATGGTGGACTGTTCACAGGGAAGGCTAATGCMCATAATCCTGAAGTGCAGTGAAACTCACAGACTGAATTTACCAGCATCACTCCTCTCCACCTATTTCCAGGTAACACTTCACACAAATTCTTCCAGCTGTGCCAATGCATGAGACAACTGCATCCAAATTCTGAGATTTTATTCTCTTTTCTCCCTGCTATGTCATTCTTTGGGGAGACATTAGGAAAATAGCATCACTCAGTGTCCCCACCACTGCAATTAGCTATGTCAGGTGACAGTGATGATGTTTTCCAGAGACYCTTGTAACTGGAGTGGAAGGGAAGAGCAAGGCTGAAGAAAGGAAGGATGTGAAAAAAAATAGATTCTTGGGAAACACGTTGGAGGACTGATAATGTCGAAGGGATGGGATACAGCCTCCAGCACACTAGTGTAGCTTGCAGCATCACACATTCTCATGAAGAAAGTTCATTAGAAATTTTAAAATGTATATTATGAAGAGGTCCAAATTAACATATATTTTCAGCACAATGAAAATGAATTGATTGAAGTCATTCATTATTGTTACCATTTTTAGCTGGTGGTTGTGAAGAACAGCTATTCTAGCTCCGGACCCTCTCATGGCTGCTATATTCAAATTCCTTGGACAAACCCTGTACAGAAAGATCAAAACCAAATTATAGAAGACAAAAAGAACCCGTAAGTGACTCTCACAACACATTTCTCTAACAGTCTTCCTTTCATAAAGAATCTACATCGAAGCTTGCAGTCTTGAGTCACTCTAAGTTCTGCAACTACTAACGCTCAGAAACTCTAAGTTTCTGCAACTGAGGAAATAGGTTCTCAAAGTATTTGTAAAACAAACAAAAACCCCACAGTTCAATCACACTGGCAGAAGCTTGTATATCCTTCCCCGTTTTCATTCTGAGACCCAAATTCTATCCTGTCTTGGCAACCTGATTATTTTATCAGCTCATCTTGGCATACAGAATCTCAGATAGAATTTTGCTTTTTTTTTTTTTTTAAATCAGGGAAAGGTTGAAATAGAATAAGAAGTATATCTGGTTCTAAGAAACATATTTTCAAGACATCAAAGACACATCCACTTTGAYTCTGTTTCAAGTGTTGAAGAAAATACCAACTTCACTTACAATGAGTATGTACAATGTACAATGTCTAGGACTAAGTAATAACTTGTACTCAAGAAAACTTATAACCTTATACATTTATAGACATTTCCTTGCCCTATAAAACATCATGGTATTTCCTTAGGTTATTGATAACAGCAAAAAATGCTACTCCAAGGCGTTCTGAAGATTGAAACCAACTTTTCACATTCAGAAGCTGCAGTGCTCATGTAAGAATGTCACAACTTCTGATGATTGTATTTACTTTGTCCTTTTAAAGGCAACTTGGATGGGTGAATGACATTTAAGAGTAAGCACAAGGTGTAGTCTCAAAGCTTTTTCAGATCAGTTGGCTTATTACTTCTTAAAAGGCAGAATAACACAGGCCATTTTGTCTATGATGTTTTTAAATATTCCACACTTCAAACATTCTTCTTCTCAGAAAGGAGAATTAATGAGACTTAAGGTGGCAGTGTAGTAAACAACTGTACTTCCCTGTAAATTATGTTAAAAGAACTTAGCAGAAGTAAAATCTAGTTAATTGCAGAAAACATAATCTACAACATGATTAATTTTTAGCTTTGCAAGACACTGAAATCAGAAATTGTGAAGCTCGTCTAAAAGAAAGATCTTTCAGTGCAACTAGCAATTTCAGAATAACAGAACAACCAAAAATAGTAAATACTGCCTGTCTCCCTGATGTGTTCTAACCTCCTCTCTGACCCTTCAATGCATGGAGTCAATCTTAGTGTAGCTCCTCACCAACTTTCATCTCTTAAGGGACTGGGTCATTGCCTTGCTCTGATTTAGAATTCTATTCTTCATATCCATTTTTTTTCCTAATAAGAGTTTCTATGCTCTAAAAAGATACAGGTAAGTATTTCAGAAAGTTTCCAGYTGCAGTTTCATGGTGCTTCTCACAGATTCACAAAATGCTCTCATATAAAATTAGCAAAACTTGCAATAGTTTATGGATGGTAAAAAGAAAGTCTTTACAAAGTAGTAAGTAGAGCAGAGAATAAAATTTAGCACAACTCCCCCTTTCCTTGGAGATGGCTGCACAAAGCAATTCGCAAAACCTTTATGGTTGTTTTATGGGCTTTTATATGTTAGGAATTGGAGCTATGAGGCCCTGAACGTAGAATGAAAACAGGATTAYAGCTTTCATGCATAGCACTGCAAAAGCAAGCTGTTGTTAGGCTCTTGCTAGGAAAGAATAGAAGGTTTAGAGATTAGAAGCAAAGGACATGACTGTTACTGGCTACTTTGTAATCAAAGTCATGAAGTATTCCTTAATGATTTCACTTTTCAAATCAGCATGGTGATTCATGCCCTGAACAGACAATTCCACTGTGGAGATGAATGAGATTCACCCAAAATGGCAAGTGATACGCAGGGTAAGGGAAATTAATCTATAGGAATAACCATGTCCCACTAGAAAACAACAACCAGACATTTTAAAATATATTAAAAAAGCAGAGGAAAAAGAACCCACAGCTGAGGACATTCACTTCTACTGTAAGTTTTACAAGAGACTTTCTATAAGAGCAGCATGCAAAAGTTACTTGTGCAACTTATGTTTCCTCTGGTAAACTTACACAGTTGATTTATTTTTATCTGTCACAGTTTGAGATAAAGACTCCTGCTTCTCAAGAACGTGATCTTTGTCAGTCTGCACTAGTTCAACCTCGGAGTCCGAACAGCCACTGTCAAGTTTTCTTTTCTTTGGAAAAAAGCTGTGCTCTCTGTCATTCACAGCACCTTGCTCTTTCAGCTCTTCATCAACACCTCCCGATACTCGAACTTCAGCTCTACTCTTTAATCTGCCTGAAATACAAAAAGAGAAGTGTTTTTTAGTTTGCTTGTTTGCTAACAAGCYAAGTGTGTTAAGCCACAGTCACTACTTCAGCACAAATTAACATTAAGAAACAGATCATTATTTGGGAAAGCAAAATATGAATGTGTTTATACCAACAGAGACAAAGCCCTTGCACTGGATGCACAGACCTGTAAGGGAAAAATCAAAAGTCTGAGACAGGTTTTGCTTGAGAATGGTGTGAATGCTTAGCTGACACCATCACACTGCAGAGTTCTTCAAGGTTCTTCTATTCTTTGGATAATCTGCAAGTCAAGATTACACTGACTCACTTCTAACCCTACAATATTTCCCTGTTGGGTTCTCCAAAAAACAAACAAACAAAAAACCCCCAAAACAGGGCATATCCTACAGTGCCCACAGAAAGAGAAATGTACTAAAAACTTCCACACATCAACTTCCACACATCAACTTACCTGCATAAGTACAAACAAACGTCCCCTTGTCGATATCGTCCAGGCAGCGGACACCCCAGCCCTTCTTCTCTGTGTTGAACACTTGTAACCGGACTTGGATGCCATGCTGCACAACTCTGTTCTGACACATTACCTTGTCACACCTGCATGACACACTGCACTCATAAATTCTGTCAAGAGAGAAAGAAGAAAAAAGCACAGAATTAAACACTGCATTACCACAACAAATTTGCTATTATTAAGTTCTACTCTGAGCACAAATAAAACAGATCACTGAGAAGACAAAGATCCAAGCTGTAGTTGATTGGGCGCAGTGTGCTGGAACTCAGGATTTTCTTGATTCTTGACTCATCAATTTTAAGAGACTGTCAGGCAGATTTTGTGTAAGCAGAGATGAAAAATAAATGTTACCTTTCATTTTATAGGTGGAAATCACAAGATGCAGAAATCTTAGCGGTGCACTTCATTCTATGCTCGAACAGATTTCAGCAAAGAGAGTCTGTCTCTCTGAATTTCATTAGCTGTCGCAAGTTTCAGGATTTACCAAACGCTGCTACAAACCATTCACAACTGTACTTTTTGGGGACTTTTCTTCGGAGATGGGCAACAGTGTTGAGATTCTAGAACAACTTCAAGGGCAGCTTTCATTCTGTATCCCCAACCATAAGCCAACATCACACAGCAAGAAGAGTAGGAAAAGAGGTTCCTTAAACCTATGACTTCAGCCCTTGGCCACTGCAGAGTCATCTTGTACAATTCTTCTAATTCTCTAAAGGGACTGCAGCACACACTGCATTGGGGGCTGCCATCACAGGAGAAACTGGGAGCACTCTTTATTCCTCAAACTCCCTGCACATTCCATCCCAAATTYAGGAAGAGTGGGTTGGCTCTTATACATCTGGCTGGTATTTCCTGGGAACTCTGGTTCTACAGAGCAACTGGCTGGTCAGGTTGCAGGGCAAAAACAAGGGGCACGTGTTTTTTCCCCTCCTTCTTTCATTGTTATATATTGTGTGACGATYTTGTGGCAAACCTCCCTCCATCCCTCTCTGTATGACTGAATGAATGAGCACACTACAGTAAAGATAAAATAACAGCAGAAATATAAAACTATCCATTTTGTGTTTCTTACCCACTAGGAACAGGTCCCTCCAGTCTTTTATAATTGTATCCACAAGATGTTTTAGTATTCGGAGATGGAGAAATTGTGCTACAGCCTCTTGTAGTTAGCTGMAGGCATGCACATTTTGACCTAGAAGATGGACAGTAAAACATCATACAGGAATCTAAATGTATTCAGAGCAGTGTAAGTAAATTAAAATACAGTTCATTTAAAATAAATGTGCCTGACTGTATGTTTCCCCACCCACTCGATACCCTGCCAGCTTCCTTGTTCCTTTTCTGGTCATATGTGCTTTACAACCTGTAATTGTTTGCTGCTGCTTTTTCTTTTTACCTGTCATGTTTCTCCCCCTTTTTCCCCTCATTTTAATTCCAAGCTTTGTAAAAGGGCCATGCAAACAACTTAACAGKGACAGACACCAATTATGAACGAGACATTGTCAAATGGACTGAATGAACAAGTGAAAAATCCCTGGTTCTGACACAGCACCCCAATCTGGTGAAGTAGTCTTCATCAGCTTCCTCCCCACCTCTTCCCTAGAAGTGAAGAACTTTACCATGCACATGGGAGAACTCCTACACTGACACTATCTGCACCATCTTGTGTCACCGCAGCTCCAAAGACTTACAATGTTGGTTATTTTTCTACAAATAGCAGCAGACCAGAGCCTGACCCCCACAGCTCCACATCTCAACTCTTGGGAAACTTCAGTGTGTGGAAGGAGCCTGCTATGTGCTTGCTGCTCCCCACTGCTYAGCTGAAACTAAACAACTTGAATTACTGAAGCTTCATTATTCTGGGCAGTGATCTCAAAATTTGCTGGGCATGGACAATACTGCAAACCAGCAGGTGCAATGGCTCTAGTGGTCAAGAATCTAACTGGATTCAAAAACAACAAAGGTAACAACTACAGGCAGAGATGGTGTTGAAGACAAACACCCCTCCTGAAAACAGGCAAGATTTTCATTAAATTTGCATGAAGCTGTGTCAGCTTCCTCCAGAATAACATGTCATTCAACTACTGGGCTTTGGAAAAAGACAGCAACGCAAAACACTGTTTCAATAGGTGATGAGCTCTGTGATCACAGGGTTTCATGGTTCCTGTTTAGGAGAGATGGGATTGAGAGGTTGTGAACAGAGATGCCCTCTTTGCCCTCCATAACAGTCTATGTCTGGAATAATCTCACCTCACCAGGCTGCCCCAACTCAGCTCCAATAGCTCCTGAAAAGGAAGATGCAGCAGAAATTGGCATGCAGGATCCTTTCATGCCTGCCAGGAGAATGAGCCTTCCTCAACTTGCCCAAGTATCTCCTTCACTCCCACCCCAAAATCAAGGTATCTATTTGCCAGCTCTGCTTGGAGGAGAAGAGGCATTGACAATTTGGGCAGAAAAGGAAAGGAACATAATAATTCCATGACTTGGTCACTTCCTTTCCTACAACTGGGACTGCGCAGCAGCAGCACCCAAGTTTTGGAGAAGCCACAGGCATAGCAGTGTCAGTCATGACAGAGTCTGGTACAAAACAGCTACTGCAGATACCACAGCAGTGGCAGTTGTTCRTGATTTGCCACCCATTGGTAATGTCACCTTGCTGTTGCCACATTACTTATTTGATATCAGATGCTTCAACCTACCTATCAATGCAGCCATCTGTACAATCACAGGAGTCAACAAACATGCTGGAGAAATTGTTGAGATAATATCCACGTGGCCATGATGCCCTCCGGTATTTAAAATAGGGCAACCTCGCACGGTCGATATCGTTGGAGAAGGAAATAGGCACRGACTCAGCTCCATTGCTAATGTCAAACTCGAACACTAGCGGGTCGACATTTACAGTGTTYCGGCACAACAGTACGTACGTGTTGAAAGAGAAGTGATCAATAAATAAGAAATTGCACTCTGTTTCAAACAGATAACGCTGCACGTCTTTAAAGCTTCTCAGACTCCTTCCGCAGGGAGCTTTGTAATTCACATCCAGGGATTTTGAGAGGCAGTCAGCTTTTGAGTGTCGTCTTTGGAAGTGAAACAGAATTGGTATCTTAAGAGGATTTTCACCCTTGTAGGAGTTTAGTGGTCTCTTGGCAAGACATGCACTAGAACACTCGTGWTTCTGATACTGCAGTTTTAGAGGTAACTTTTGTATTTCACTAAGTGCTTCTGYGTTCTCTGAATCTGATTTCGCCTTCTGCTCCTTTTTGCTGTTTGGAATAATAAATAACAAAACAAGAAAACTGCATCTCAGACAACCAGTAAAGCACTCAATCTTTTAGCAGTTCAACTACTATTAGTATAGAAAGAATCAGCCCACTGCTAAAAGGCTAAAGGCTTCCATGAATTACTATTTGCACTATGTTGCCATTCTGACACCATATGGAAGTATTCACGAAGTATTCACATGAGGGATAAAAGGCCTGTGAAGAACTTAAATAAAAAATATTGAAATTTTATTCTTACACACAAATGATATCTTTACCCTCACTTTCCATGTCAGTACCTGAGATATGGAGAAACATTTGCCCAATAGCCACAGTCTGTGAAAGACCTGAGAACTGAACTCAAAAGTTTAAAGTTGTGTCCTGTCCTCCCCATTCTGCCCCAATAATCTGCGTGGTATTTGTGGATCTCCATTTACAGTCCAATGCTCTGTTTTATTCTGCTGTGTTCTCAAAGGCAGATCTGAATCAAGACTACTCAAAAACTCAGGCTCTCCACGTGGGCCACTTAAAAATCTTCCTCTTTGAAAAATGTCAGGATTCAAAACAAGGTTTAAAACAATAAAAGAAAATTCCTTCCTTAGAGCTAATAACTCTCTTAAGTACAATAAAGACTATGTTAAACAGCGAACTTTGCTAAATGGGAATAAAAATGTGAAATAGACCAACCTGTGAGAGCTTTCTACTGAGTTTGCAGCATTCTTATCTGTAAGCATAGCCTGCTGTTTGAGCTTGTGTTCCTGTTTATCATGTCCATCAAAGACATTATTTACTGAAAAAAACAGAATACAAGCAAAAAACTTATGCAATCCACATTCAATTTATAATTGAAGCTATTTTAAGTTACTAAACAGGTACTGTCAAAATACACTAAAGACAACGTACCACTGAACCACAGCTAACAAAGAACATACTGACAAGGTGCTCTACTGTAAAGCAGCTACCACTTAAAACCTACACAAAAGCCAGCTGTTTGCATATAGGTGTGCAAGCAAGAGAGTCTCTCAGAGTCTGTCTGTCCCTCATTAAGTTGTCCCATGTAGCTTTTAAGTTTGTGCATATTGTTGTTATAGAAGCACACAGATACAAGGCAGGTATGATAGATTTCTCTTCATTACAGGTTCACAGATTTCTCTTCCTAGATTTCTCTTCATTATCTGAGGTAAAAGGAAGTCAGGGTTTTGGTGAGTGAAGCCACCCCACGGAACATGCACTTTGGACAATCTGGAGAGAATGGAGAAACACACAAGCCAATCCTACTTGCAGCCAGCTCAGGTCCATCAGAGATTAACAGCCCCAACCCCATATTGTTCAGGTAAAATTAGATAAAAGCCACACAGAGGCATGTATATCACAAAAGTGAATACCCAGGTAAGAGTGACCAGTGCAGAGGACCTGAAGAAACTAATAACTACATTTTTTTCCAGATCTATTTTACTGTTCTCAGTTAAAGGAAATAAGCTCCTGCTGAGTAAAACAAAATAAAATAGAGTCACATATTGACTAAATACAATCAAGATGCTCATACCTTCTGTTGTGGTTAAGAGAGTGCTTAGATTAGCTTGATTCACCAAAGTCCAAGCCTGGCAACAATCTACATAAAACAGTACAAATGCGAGGTTTAATTTAAGTAATGACAATAAGGACAGTGATAAAAGGAACCACTGAAAGCTTCAGACCTCCTAAAAACATCTCTTTCTCCCCTATGCTAGTCTACAACCATGTAACAGTCAGGTTGTCAGCAACCTTTTACACCTCAGTCCAAAACAGACTCATCTACAATTCACAGTAAAATTACAGCTCCCTTTAGCAATCGTGAATCAGCACTGAACATCCTCTCGCTTTCAGAAAGCTTCCAGAATATAGTTTCCAAATGCACACAGTCCGTCAGCCTCCAATCTTAGTAAGGCATGTAATAAAATTTAGTACAATCTTTCTCTTTGTCACCAATCTAGTAATCTTCCAGCTAAGAAGGGCTAGATCTGGTTGGACCAAATTAATAGTACTGCTAAACTGGCGAAAACGGCCTTCAGATTAAAAAAAAAAAAAAAAAGAAAAAAAAAAAAAAAAAGGAGACTAGTTCTGCCTCAATGCAGTTCCCCATTTAATAAACATCATAAAGGAGCAGCCAAACACCAGTAAAATTCCTGCTAATATTTTAGTCTGAAATCTTTACAGAACAGATCATCGGGAAAGTTCACATTTATGTATGTCACAGATCCATTCCATTAATAGGGGCATTAAGGTTCAATTTTTAGCTATGCACTTCTCTAATACTTTGTCACAATCAAGATGTGGGAGCTTGATCACACAAAAAATACTGCATTATTAAATTCAGCAGTATAACAGAGTATGCAGCTACACTAGTTAAAAAGTATCTTAACACTTCTGTACTTTCTCCTGCACATAAAAAGCACTAAGATGAATAGATTACACCTACAGTGGTAACTGAATAAAAAAGTCATATACCTAAATTAAATAATAAAATCAAATCAAATCAAATCAAAGAGGAACAATTGCAATGCTCAGGCCCATGAAGCTTCTGATCTTAACATAAATAAGAAAAACACGTTTTAGTGGAAATCAGCAACAATCCTATAAGGCATTTCTGTCAGATTTTCCCAGCAAAGTTTCAAGCTATATTACTGTCTCCAAAGCTAAACACTTCAAGACATCCATACAAAACCATTCAAGTAACTGAGATCATCCTCAAACATCCTTCAGACAGAAGTTTGCAGACGACACCAAGTTGGGTGGAGTGGCCGACACTCCGGAGGGCTGTGCTGCCATCCAGAGGGACAGGCTGCAGAGTTGGGCAAAGAGGAACCTCATGAGGTTCAGTAAGGACAAGTGCAGGGTCCTGCACCTGGGGAGGAATAACCCCCTACAGATTAGGGGTCGACCTGCTGGAGAGCAGCTCCACGGAGAGGGACCTGGGAGTCCTGGTTGACACCAAGTTAACCATGAGGCAGCAGTGCCCTCGTGGCCAAGAAGGCCAATGGGATCCTGGCTGCATCAGGAGGATGTTGCCAGCAGGTCRMGGGAGGTGATYCTGCCCCTCTMYTCRGCTCTGGTGAGGCCGCACCTGGAGTAYTGKGKGCAGTTCTGGGCTCCCCAGTATAAGAGGGATGTGGAGCTTCTRGAGAGGGTCCAGCGAATTGCAACYARGATGATTAAGGGAATGTAACATCTCTYGTATGAGGAAAGACTGAGTGARCTGGGCCTGTTTTCTCTGGAGAAGAGAAGGCTCAGAGGGGATATGATCAATATGTATAAGTTCATGGAGGGAGAATGCAGGGAGGAAGGGGACAAGCTGTTTTCATTGGTGGCCAGCGATAGGATGAGGGGAAATGGCCATAAGCTGAAACACAGGAAGTTCCATCTCCAGGTGAGGAGSAACTTCTTYMCTGTKAGGGTGACAGAGCAGTGGAACAGGCTGCCCAGGGAGGTTGTGGAGTCTCCTTCTCTGGAGGTCTTCAAAACCCACCTGGATGCTGCCCTGTGCCACATGTTGTAGGTGTGCCTGCTTGAGCAGGAAGGTTGGACTAGATGATCTCTAGAGGTCCCTTCCAACCTTGAATATTCTGTGATTCTGTGATCCTGAAAAGCTAAAACTTCTGAAGATAAACAAAAGCACAGCACTACATACACTTTTCAGGAATAAACTTTTCACCTCTGTGTGATTAATAACTATACATTGTTCGAAAATATATAAGGGCAAAAAGTGAGAATGGCCAAATATGCCTGAAAGGGTCTGTTTCTGTTTATTTTAATAACCAATGATGATTTTTAAAACAACTTCTGATAAGAAAGAAAAAACCTCTTGCAGCTGGACAGACAAAAGTAGTGAAGAATTTGAAACAGTGGGTTTAGCCCAAGGACAAGCAGGGTCCATTCACTATTTATGAAGAATTAAATAAGTAACTAACATGACCATGAATAATTGATTGGATGAGCTGCTGTGGCAGAGCCTGCCTTCCTTTCGGACACAAAATTTTACGTATGTGTCTAGAAGTACAGCTGAAGCATTTTGTGCTTTATCCAAACATAAAATTTAGTAGCTTCCTTATGAATGCAGTYTTGCTGCACAGCAGTGTACTGTACATGATGTACTATGTTTAAAAGAACAAGCAAGCAAGCAAGCAAACACAGACGACTCCTCAGACAGCTTGGCACCTTTTATTTATCTGCTCAAGTCTTTTTTTTTTTGAGGTGAGAACATTTGTGATCAAGTCATACTTCTCTATACTGCATTGAGGTTGAGTTACCTTCTAGAGTTCTCTCTGTTCAAGTATGTCATTTATTAAGTAATTTAAACACACAGATATCTGAATAGTGGCAAATATCATACAGGCTGATATGACGTAGGCTATACCTTGATCCCAGTCCTGCTCAATTATTGCAATGATTTCAAACCTTGGTTTGTGGCAGTTCCATCCTTGATCTTTTGCTTCAGCACCAGCAGCACATTTTGCAACTGCTCAAATATAAAGTCCACTCTTGCACCTCCCATTTGTGTCCAAAACGTCTTCAGATCACCTGAAATTAAAAATTCTACTTACAARTCTGTGCAACTTCCCTGGAGCCTAAGCATACAATATCTCTGGGTAGACATTTTGAAGACTCACGCTCATTTCAACAATCAGGTGCTTGTCCTTGTGAAAGATCAGTCAGGACACTATTTTTTTAGGTTTGTAGATTTTAAAATTAATTCCTAAATCTAATGAGAAAAAAAATTTAATAGGCGTATCCTCCTTCAATCACATAAGCTGACTGCCCTGTCCTGTGGTTTTCTTTAACTATGTTTTCCAGGGAAGGTAATATTAAAAATACTTTCAGATAAAGTAGTTCGGTAAAATTTCTTTACCAACTACTATGAGCTATAGTAATTTATATGACCTTTATATCATATCTTCTTCCTTCACTAGGGATATTTATAAAGAATATATTTTGTATAAAGAGCTTAAAAAAAAGAATTCCCGGACATTACCTTCAAGAGCCTTTTCAGTAGCACTGGTGAGGTTCTCCACTTTAAGGCCGTCTGGAGACACTGCTGGAGGACCAGAAGAGAAAACACCAAGGAAATTAAAATCTGTATAGCTATGTACTTTTCCTAAACATCTCCAAATAAACATCTACAGTAGGTATCAGTAAGAGCACTCGGTGAGACAGCACTATTGGAAGAACACTCGTTCCACTTAAGACCCACAGAAATCACACATCTGGCAGAGCAGTCTTGTTAAGGCCCAACAAAACAACACTTGAAAAAAAACCCATTGAAATACATATGTGTGTGTATATATATATGCAATATATATAGTCCAAAGAGAATTCCTTAATACAACAAAAGCATAAGTCTTTCATGAGATGACTCACACTTTCCCACATGTCAGTTGAGGCTATATAATCTCTTACATTTTTCAATTAAAACAAAGAAGAGTGCAGGAATTTAAGGAAAAATTTCTTGACAGCCAGCGTGACAGAGCCCTGGTACAGRCTGCCAGGAGAGGTTGTGGAATCTCCTTCTCTGGAGATATTAAAGGCCCGCTTGGATGCAGCCCTGTGCCACGTGCTCTAGGTGATCCTGCGTGTGCAGGSGGTTGGACTAGATGATTTCTAAAGGTCCCTTCCAACCTTAATGATCCTACAATTCTACACTGCAAATAAAGCTGTACTGAAACCAAACTAATTTACCTAGGAAGAAGACTTTGCTACAGAAAAAAAAAATCTGGGTCTCTCACAGCACATGCCAAAGAACATATTTGGCTTTAGCTGAGTAACTGGGTGTTTTCAAGGTGGTATAATCTACTTCGACTCATTCTAGCACGGGAATTTTGCCCTGGGAGAACAGATCAAGTGACGGCTGCCTAATCCTAGAGGGGTTTCTGCCTGCTGCCCAAAGCATTTTATTTATTTGCACATTTACTCATGTTTCGGCTTACTTCTCTGCGCCTCCATGCTGCGGGGCGGCTGCGCGGGGACCGCTTCTCTCCTTCCTCAGCGGGTGCCTCACGGGCGGCATGGGGAGAACCGCATTAAACCTCGTCGTGTCGTGGCCTGTCGTGTCGTGGCCTGTCGTGTCGTGGCCTGTCGCGTCACCTCGCCGCCACCCCCGCCACCCGTAACCCGCGCAGGTACCTGCGGGCGGTGCCGCTACCTCCCGGAGCAGCCACGCTCCCCCCGCCCCCCACACTCCGACCGTTAACGGTCCAGGCTCCAACCGCCTCAACCGCCTCAACCGCCGAACCCTGCCGCTGCCCCGCCCCCACCGCGCCTGCGCGCGGCGCCCCCTCCCTCAGCGCTTTGGACAGCTGTGCGCAGGCGCGGGGCGGGCCCAGGCCCTACGAGCGAATGGCTGTGGAGAGGAGGCGGGCCAGCCGCGAACGCACGTGAGGTTTGCTTGGTCGCTATTGGCTGCGACGCCGTGTCGTCATCGACAGCGCTGGCGCTGGCTAATGACGCCACGGGGGAGGGGAGAGAGCTCAGGCTGCGGGCGGTGCGTCCGCCATGTTGGGCGGTGAGCGGGGGGCGGGGCGCGGCGCGTTGCCGCCCGGCGGGGGTCGCTGCGGGGCCGCCGCCATTTTGTTAGAGGGAGCGCGCTGCGGGAGGGGGGATGTAGGGCGGGGATAGAGCCGGGTTAGGGGGCCGAGCTGCCCGGGTGGGCGCTGGGGGCGAGAGGAGAGAGACCTGGGTCAGGGAGCTGGCCCCTCCGCAGTGTTGGGGTGTCCACGGGGCCATTTGGGGGCTGCTGAGGCCCCTCTTTGGGATGGGGGTTGTGCCCCTCTTGTGGGGAAGCAGTGCTGGCCAAGGGGTCCCACAGCCTCCTGGGCTCATGGGGGTGCAGAGTGAGTAAAGGCCGCGGGCTGAGGGGTGTTCAGGCTCTTGTCCAAGCCTTTAATGCTCAGCTCCCAGTGGTGAGTGAGTGAATTACCCAGCTCCACTGCTGGTTCCCCAAATTGGCCTTTGTCACTGCAAGTGGTTGTGGCCGCGTTACACAAAATGCTAAATTACCACAGTAGTTCTGGTGCAGACTTTATCATAAAGTTTTTACTGCCCTGAGAAACCAAGGCAGTGTTGCTCTCTTTAAGTGTTTCAGCAATAACTGCCCAGAGTGGTTTTTCCAATGGGCAAAAATCAAAACGCTCCTAGAAAAGGTATATGCTTGAGTTGAATGTTTGGTGTGTTTTAAGGGAAGGTCACATGCACAGCTGTGAGTTTTGTCACACCTGTGAACTGGAGAGGAACCCAACATGCTCAAATCACAGTCTAAGTGTTTACAATCATGCGGGGATTGCTAGAAATACTTTGATAGTTGGGGGAGGGTGTAGGAATTAAATTTATCTGCATGGAATGCGATGTTTATATGACTAGGAGCCCTAGTCAGACCCAGGATACTCGGAAGATTTTTGATGTTCAGCATCTGCTTTGTACTTTTATAAAACCTTTTACGTGTTTACATAGGCCTGCCTACATCTGCGCCTGTGTTTGAAGTTGACTGATTAGCCCATGAGAACTGGGTAACTCCGCTGTGCAGACAGAAGTGGGACGAGCAACAATAGCTTTGTTGGGAACAGCTCAGCACTGTGAATGTGCTGATGAATCTCCAAATAAAAACAGTTCTCTGCATTTTAAAAAGAGAGATTTCTCTCCCATAATAGTTTATTTTGAAGCTGAGTACATGCTTTTCTTGTTCTCAGAACATAACTGCATTATATACTGATGACTGCCTGTTAAGTAATTTTATTTTACTGAATTATTAATATATGTGCCTGTGCAAGTGAATGGTGAGTGTTATGAAACACAGTTGCGAAACATATGCAAGGAATGTACCAAATGCGGAGAAGATGGACCAGTCATTGTAATGACTGCAATATTTAGAAGTTAATTTAAAAGATTTATGCATAACTTAAGTTCCTCCTCCTTTAAATAAATGTCTTCCTTAAGTATTGTGCTTGTTTGCATGCTTTGAAATGATTAGCACTGCCCAGCAATGCAGGAGGTGGCATARCCCGCCTTCATAAGCAATGGATGTTGTTAAATACCATATTTATGCTTGGGTAGCAGGACTGCACATACGCCCGTTTGCCTGATATGATCAGGAAATAATTCGTTGTTTATGATGATTTAGTTGTCACACGCCTCATGTTCATGAGGAGCAAATGGACCTGAGTTTTTTGGGGGGGATTATAATTCACTGTAATACAAGCACTGGGAATCTGGCCGTGAAGCCCGCTTCACTTCTGAGCAGCTGCAGAGTTACCAGGCAAACTAAGACGTTCCCTTTGCTTGCCAATGCCTGAGCAAGCTGCTGGAGGTTGTTCCTTTTACTGTGATGGGATCTGTTCTGTCTGTCAGTAACTGAATATCACAGGGGTCAGTGTTGATTATTCACTGTGAAGCCTGTCCTCGGGAAAGGGAACAGGCAGATGCCAGCGCAGTTTTTGGAGACTGCTGCAGGGAATTTACTAAAATGGAATTGGGAACTGATTGAAATGAGTCTTCCCATTATTTATATGTGTTAATGTGTTACAGTGGATGAAAATGCAATTTCTGTATTTTAGTGCAGAGGACGTACAGTGATGCAAATGCTTGGCTGAAATTGTGTTATTTCATGTTTTTGTTGGCTAAAAATTATTTATTTAAAAATAATCTCCTGTGGGGAGAAGTTAGAAAAGCATGACTATGTACCTCAGACAAGAGGAACAAGAGGCAAATGGCAATATAGTTTGCTTTTTCATTGTAAGGAGAGAGAAACGTGCTTTTCTTAAAGATTAGTAATACCTAAGTTTCATTGTCTTTGCTGACAGGCTTTCTACAACATAGCAGTAAATTGTAGTAGAGGTTCTTCCAAGACCTGTAAGATGCTGAAGCTCATAAAAGCTGCTGATCTGACGTGCCAGTAACCTTCATTTCCAAACCCAGAGCCCTCCTCTAGCAGCAGGGTAAGTGTCTTGGGGACTTTCCCACCAGCTTTTGCGATGAAGACCTGAAGGTGAGGACAGCCAGTTCCACAGGCCCATGCGTTTGTTAACACCTTCGTTATGACSAGCAGCCAAAGGGCTGGCTCCCCCAGTGAATGGCACTATTCATTGATTTGCTGAATTATGCTTTTGTATTATGCAGTTCTAGTCGTGTTTAGAGACTTCAGCTGAATAATTGCATAGACATGCACAGAAGAATGGCTCCTTTGAGTGGAAGGGGATGAATTTGGCCTTAAAGGGTTCATCTCTTCCACTGCTGTTCTCTTGGGATTTTTTTTTTTAATTACCTTGAATACAAGAAGATGTGGGAGTATCTTCATGTGGCCAGATAGGGTTGGGTGACCTATAGAGAGAGCAGTCAGACTGCAGACAGTAAAAGCAATCAAAGCCATAGATGTTTGAGCACTCATTCTATCAAATTGCAAATTTAACATGCCATTTTCAGTTATTGCACTGGTTAGTTTAAATATGGTTTATATGCAGTCCCTTATTCACCCATCCATTTTGACTGCGAGATTTTTTGGGAAACGTGCCCTCCTCTCCTTTTTTTTAATAGGCTGTCTACTTCTTTACAAAATACTGTCACTTAGGAATTGGGTTATCCCAGAAGTTTAGCCAGAAAACGTAATACCTACAGAGAAGATTAATACACACTTTCATAAATATTGCTTACAAATTTGACTTAGAGACCGTTTACAGGTCCTCAGTGTTCCTTGTTATTTTGTTGCTATTCCATATGTATTCAATTTTAGGTATACATTGGTTATTTGGATGTTAAATTTTGCCAGATACTCTGTGAAAGAAAGGGGAGATKGGTGATCTTTGAGAAGCCATTTTGCCTGTAAAATGATTTTTGTTCTACCCATGGTCTAAGCATGCTTGCATTCCTGTCAGATATGAGTCAAACAACTTGTCTGGTCATTTGAGAAATGAAGCTTCTAAAACGCTAGAATGTTGACGGTCCTAAGGGAAGCTTAAAACACCCAGACTGGCCATGAAAAGCAAGGCAAAATTCGTGTCACTGCTTGGGACAATAGCTGCCTTTCATGWTGAGGACCCAGATAGCTGTTAATGACCAGTGAGCTTGAGGGTTTGGGCATCTGCCCAATATGCTGAACTCTTAACCATTCTCTAGCTGTCATATCTTTCTAGGTCTGAATTTGGAGCCTGGTAATGTAATGGATTTTGCCTGTAAGGATTGCGTATGAAGTAGTAGAAGTTTCCTTTAAGCTATATTTCTGTCTTAGAGTGGCAGTATTGTCTGCCAGCAGAGATACTGGGCAAGTTAATGAGCACGGGAAGAAAGGACTGGTTTAAATGTTGACTTAGCCCAACATTAGCCAATGTGAATTGTCTTTGCTGCACCACAGACTGTCCTCCCAGTACATTGATCAAGATACGTGGCTAAAATGGTGCCCTCTAATTTTGCATGACTGAGATCAATAAATGAAGTTCTGARAGCCTGGGAATACAACTGCACTTTAAGGGACCTGACATCTCTGGAAGATAGATGGTAGATGCTTATGAAAGAAACTCAAAATAAATGGATGGTTTGAAAACTGTGACTTCAAATTCTTTATGTTTGTTTCTCGCTCTAAACAGAACTATGTGTTTATCTGGAGTAAAATTTCATGGTTATGTTGTGAAGTAAAAACCTGTGTCCTGACCTTTTTGATGAGCTTTGTGTACAGGCTTTGCATGCTGATTAAAATATGAGCACAAAATGTTTCATTAAGTAAGCAGAACAAAAAAAAATCTTGAGCAGTTCAAGATATAGTGAGTTTGTGGTGTTCCCACACTGAGAAGTATGGTACGGTGTTGTGATAGGGATAACCTTTTCTGGTTTGCTTTTTTTTTTGTTGTTTTTCTTCCTCCTTTTTAATCAAAGTACATTATAACTTGTATGCTTTCTTTGTGATGCCAGCTGATACAAGGCTGATAGGTTAGTTCTGACCTTGGTAGTAGCTGTATGAATGCAAAATGAATGCAAAATTGCATTCATAGCTGTATGAATGCAAAGCAAGTCCTTTATAAAGAATTGAATCGAACATAACAAAAATCCATCAA